CTGCAGAGATGCTACTATACCATTTTCGTATGGTCTGAGGATGAGGCAAAGCCAAGAGAAATTTCTCTCTCACAAAGTCATAGGCCTTTGGAGAGTAAAACTGCAGTGTAGTTGCAAATTGCTTCATGCTTTCACAAAACACAGACTTTTTCTTCTTTTGGATTCTCTGAAAAATCTCCTGTGGAACATCAGCCAGAGTTTCAAGAAGAGAGGCACATTCAGTTGAAATTAGAAGTTTTTTTTGAACCTCGCTAATTACACATTTCAAGGAAGTAACTCTTGACTTTAGCCTTCTTGTTTGTTGACTTCTCATCCTAAGCTTTTTACGAGTTACATATAGCTTTTCCTTTAACACATGAGCTTTCCTTTTCAGTGTTTTTGGAGAATCTAAAATATAGTAGCAGTGATCACTCAGAGTTGTGTTTTGAACTCTGCTACCCAAAACAACACCCTCACACACATTTGCTGTAAAAGCAGTGTCATTGTGGCTGACATCTTGAGCAAGTAAAGCGTGTTTAGATGCATCCTCGATTAACATGACATTGCTCTGTTTGTCAATACTGCCACTGTCAACATATGCAACCCCATCATAACTATGTACAGCAGAAGTAGGGATGCCACTTACCGTATCTTTAATACCTACCAAGCATCTTCTTTTTGGTTTTGGTTCTTCTAAACTGAAAATGGTTGGCACGGCAGTGTCCTTCAGGCAAGTCCCTTCCTAATAAAATGACAAAAACATAAAAAAAAAACATTACTGCTAGGTAAACAGTTGTTTTTAATAAAAGAGATGTTTTTATGTTATTTAACATTAATGTGTGATTGTAACTTTTTAGTATGAATGTACAAATTACACATTAAAATAAATATTGTAACTGTATATATTCATTATATTGAATATATATATATATATATATATATATATATATTCAGGCTGTCTCATTTTTTTACAGTAAAGTATGAAACAAGGTTTCTGTACCCTGGGGTCAGTGGTGAAGTTGTGACTCTCAAAGTGTTCACTGCACAAGCGAGAAGTCTTGTTAGGAGTCCAGTTCTGTCGTTTGATGTTGAGCATCCACTGGTCCAGTCTGGCATAATCACCTAGAGGAAAACTTTACACAGACAAATAGTTACTTCTTTCACAGACTACTTTACATGCAAATAATACAACTTAAAGGACATAATAAATGTGTTTTGCTTCTGTTTTTCATGTAGTTGGTCCCATTTAAAATATTTTGGATATACATATTTTATTTTACTTACAAAGTGTAACAAATAGCTTTTTAAACTGTCAAATTAATTTACAATTGCAAATTCTAAAAACATTCTACAAAGTCTGTTTTTTATATATCATTAGATGAATTAAATTTGTGTGTATAAATATTGATGAAGGAAAAGCCACAAATTCTTATGTTACTCTTTAGAAACACCATTGTGTTAATTCAACTGTCACAATAAGGAATTTTTGTTGTGCGGTATATTGTCAGAAATTGTTGCAATAAGTGATATTATTGTGATATTATTATTATTATTATTATGATCAGTTTATGCTACGGATTATATAATGATTATATAACTGCAAAATAATGCAAAGAGATAAACACTTTACAATACTTTGCTTGAATTCTATAATTTATGTTAAAACGTGTAAATGTCCATGTATACATACAAATAAAATCATATTAAGTAAATAAATAACAATTCTAAACTGACAACAGTGAGGTACAATGTAAATGTCACTGTAAAATGGCTTGAATGGTATTTGTGAATTTGTAAATATATATATATATATATATATATATATATATATATATATATATATATATATATATGTATGTATGTATATGTATATATATATATATATATATATATATATATATATATATATATATATATATATTGCAATGACAAAAATTATTGAGCTTATATCCAAGTATTACGAAGATATATTAATTATTGTGACAGGCCAATTCAAATATTTATTGCATTTTCTTATATCAGCTTTCTGTAACACTTAACCATTTTTAAAAACGCGGGGCGTTGGTATTCTGGGCGCACACATTTCAATAATTAAAAAAATACTTCCAATATAACATATTATGATATTACGAAAGCGTAGAGCTGCCACCCAGGTAAAAAAAAAAAGAGCTTTATCACGTTTGTACAATATACTTTTCACGTTCTTACAATATAATATCACGTTTGTACAATATAATATCACGTTTGTACAATATAATATTACGTTTGTACAATATACTTTTCACGTTCTTACAATATAATATCACGTTTGTACAATATAATATCATGTTTGTACAATATAATATTATGTTTGTACAATATACTTTTCACGTTCTTACAATATAATATCACGTTTGTACAATATACTTTTCACGTTCTTACAATATAATATCACGTTTGTACAATATACTTTTCACGTTCTTACAATATAATATAACGTTTGTACAATATAATATCACGTTTGTACAATATAATATTACGTTTGTACAATATACTTTTCACGTTCTTACAATATAATATCACGTTTGTACAATATACTTTTCACGTTCTTACAATATAATATCACGTTTGTACAATATACTTTTCACGTTCTTACAATATAATATCACGTTTGTACAATATAATATCACGTTTGTACAATATTATTAATCATTAAGCCAACTTATTTTTTGAAAAGCAGGCGCATATTACCGTTATCGTTTCAGATATCTTCTGGTTTAAGTCTGCAGCTAACATTACTCACAATATGAAGGATTTAATCCAGTAAATTTTAAAATAAAGTTCTAAATAATTAATTATTTAAGACATCATTGCATGCATTTATGTATAACATTGTACTAGAATATCACTCACCGGAAAAAATGGAGCCCCGTCTTGGACGGTCTGTTAGTACAATTAACTGCACAACAAGCCATATTATTTAATAAATGTAAGAAATAAAACCAACAAATTGAACAGACTGCATAAAACCATGTACAACTAAAGCACAAACACTGCAGAAGCCATAATCATTAGACGGAATTAGCAGACGTGACGCGACCACGCGGGCTAGCTGCAGCTGACAAACTGTCAATCACGGCTGTCACTCAAGTGACCACTCCCTTAATTATGCAAAAGAAAAAATCATTAATATAAACCAAACGAATAAGTTATAAAAAAATTCACCCCCCTCAGAGTTGTCATGAAAGGTAACGCTAGCTATATGCACTAAAACCATCAAATGTACCAGGCTTTAAACATGTTTTTATCAGCTGTAAAAATGGCCAATTTCCCATTGCAGTCAGAAATGACCTGCACTTCCTGGAGCCAGCCCCCCAAGGCGAGTCGATGAATTGCAGTTTTAGTTACTTCCGTATTGGCTTCACAAGGGAGAGCGGGAGGTTGCCGCTTGATATTCACCCAAGTGCAAATCAACCAAACACTGAAATGTAGCGAACGAGTTACTTAAAGGGAAACATACCATATAACTCCTATAATAGTATGCATACTAAAATGCATTTTCTTAACAGAATAGTGGTCGGTTAATATTCTCTGTCTATTAGATTACCATAATATGAAAAATATAATTATAATCTCTGTATATTTCTATGTATAAAAATATATTATGCTCTGCTTTTAGATGCAAGTGGGTTTAAGTAAGCTCTTTTTTAATAAGGGCTACAAATACATGCTTAGAGCAGTTCCTCAAATCAAATATCTCGTTTGTCACGAGGGGCATGAATGAAATTCCTGAATGAAAAAAGCCAAACTGCAGTTAAAGTCCACCATTTAATAATTTGTTAAATAATTTGATTACTGATGTCCATGTAAACTCTGTCACTGTCTTTCTCCCGTGTGTGTTTTGCCTCTGTGAAAATTAGTGTGTGCCCAAACTGACACTACCATTTTTATGGAAATTTTTAAATGCCCCCCTCTTTTGCTCCTCCGACCCCCCCCCCTCCCCCCCCTCCAATGGTTTCTACAGATATCATAATGTCGAATTTAAGACTTTTTAAGACCATTAAGTATTCAATTTAAGACCTATATCGCACCAAGACAGCACACATACGTTGGGCCGATGTCGCTCAGGAAGCATTTGCTAATTGGCAAAATGTTGCCGCAATGGTGGCAAATGATCGGAAACGATGTCCGGCCGATGTTAGGACGACGCAACCGGAAATACCGGCCGCTCCGCGGGGGCGCGGTTCTCAGGCGTTTTGCTCATACTTATGGACCACTAGCTGCAGCGGCTGCTGGTTTATAATAAACAGAACACACCACTCTCAATAACAGTTGAAGATTTATTAATATTTTCACAAACATACAAATAGATTAACACTTTTATCACACATAACCATGCTTTACCACGTTTAAAACAAAACCAACCAGTTGTACTATAACCATGGCTGAACTACTGTGCAATAAAGATTTTAAATACAAAGTCCATTGCAGCATTTATATTAAAACCATAGGGATATTTACAAGTACTTCAAAACATGTACACTAAGGGTGACTATAGTTTTACTACAGTAAAACCACAAATAACTTGTGTAAGCACGTTTTATAATGCTTATAAGCGTTATGTATAATTTCTTATATGGTGTTTAAGAAAATGTATGTTTTACAAGATTATAATTTTAAAATATAATACCAGTCATGTGTTCAGTATCCAAAAGACTTTCTTCAGGGAGTTACAATAATAAAAGAGTACACAAACACAAAATAAATACCAAGCAGACAACATTTACAGTAGTAAATAAAAATCATACGTATTAAAATAGTTTTTTGATAAAATCGTATTGAAGTCTGTAGTCATGTGTACAATTTTTATAAATGGCATTCAACAATTTGAAATCTCCTCTAAACTAACAATACATCAATTATATAAAATAACAATACTTTCACAAAGATAGTTCATTTTTCAAGCAAACTCTAATGCACGACACAAAACAGATTTTGTCATTTTATATATATATATATATATATATATATATAAACTGTTTGTAGATTATGTACAATGTTCCAAGAAAACAGACAAAATAAAAAGAAATAACTTGTCATTTAGTTTTGTTTTATCTTGTGGAATGTTGCTTACACATAAAAGGGTTTATATAGGTGGAATAAAAAGTGTGTCGCCGTTCTCTAAATTGTTCTTGTATGTTGTCTTCATCTTTAGTCTTTACAAGTGAGGCTGGACCCAAACCGGGACTGCAGTAGCCAAATCTAATCCTTGTAGTGGGAACCCTAAAATAAAACAAGAAACCAAAAGGAGAAAGATTAGCATTGCAGCAGTTCATATTACCTCAAACAATTATTATTTGTTTCATGATATATAACTGGAGTATGTGTTACGCTAGTCTCGCTTTTTTTTTTGTCTGTCCCTCGGTCTCGCTGCACATGAAAAAGGTGATAGAGCTTTCTGTGTTGCGGCCTCAAGGCTCTTGAACAGTCTCCCTCTGAACATCGGGATTGCTACTTCATTGATTGCTTTCAAATTTAACTTAAAGACTTATTTTTACTCTCTTGCCTTTGAGTGACAAATGCATGTTATTTTTTATTTGTATTTTAATATTACTTTTAAACATAAATTTTCTTGTATTTTTAATACTAGTTTTTTAATTTTATTGTCTAGTTTATTTATTGTAAAGTACTTTGGATCAACTACGGTTGTGTAAAATTGTGCTCTATAAATAAAGTTTGCCTTGCCTAGAGTAGCAAAAAAGCTAAACAAAAAAGACTTTTATTTTGGCGTGGCTGATGACGTCATTAGGCGGCGCCGCTACAGCGTGGTGATTCAACTGGAGAAAGGTTTGCTTTAAAAGTTTTACAGATATAACCCGATTTAGAGTTAAAGTTCTAAAGTTTTAGGTTTTTTTATATATGGTGCTAAATTATGTTCCTGCTGTTGGAAATATTATTTTAACCTTTTATACAACGTAGTACTATTTTATTCTCAATAATCAAGGGCTATTGTTTGAATAATGTAACAGAAAAGTGTGTAATAAGTGTTTTGATGAAACGTTTTACCCGATTTCTTTTTGTTAATTACGCTCGTTAAAATAAACTGTTGAAGAGAAGTTATTTTGCTTCATTGTTTTATTTATTTTAAACGGGACATTTTTATTGTTTTGTTCATTTTAAACAGGATAAAGTGTTCAAACACAGAGAAAAACTCCTGCTGAAGCGACTGATCTCCACACTATTATAAAGATGGCGTTTATTAAAGAGGAGAGTGAAGATGTGAAGATTGAAGAAACATTCACAGTCAAACAGGAAGATCTGCAGGAACAAACAGGTTGGTTTTCATTTTAAAGACCAACTCAGTCATTTGATCGTCATTCAGATATTTTAATAATAAAAATACTAAATTAAATCCATCTTGCAGCCCTGAGTGTGCTGCCTAGTTCTCCTAAATGCACATAAGCACTCATTGAAAGACAGGAATGAGTTTCTTTCTTGTTACTTTTTCTCGTGTCTTTTGTCATTATTTTTATGTATTATTAGTCTCCCATTTTCTGTACCTTCATAAGGTTATTGCTTTTCTTGTTCTCCTGCTGTTTGTGAAGCGTCCTTGAGCACCGGCGCTTTATAAAATAAATTTAAAAAGTTTAACTGAGCTGACGATATTTGACTGACAGTGTTCTCATAAAAGATATCTGCTATTACAGTGATAGTGTTGGCTTAGTACTTTCCATTTGCATACGTCAAGTCGATCACAATTCCCTTTTTTCATCAACTTCTTTATGAGTTTAAACTTGTTTCTAGTAGTTGTTACTAGGTCTTACAGATAGTGTCTGAGTCAGAACTACATCATTATTATACTAACTAATTACCAGGGCTATTGTGTTTAAACAGGGTTTCCATGGCGTCATAAAATGTCTTAAGATCCAAAATCAAACAAAATTTCAAATCTTTCGCTACAAATATCTAAAATACATATAAAGAATTATTATTTATTTATTATTGTAATATATATAATTAATTTTTTCATTTGTTTTTTTAATGGGGCAAATAAAAATCTTCTCCATCTGGACCATTTGAAAAATTCTTTAGCTTTATCCCTTTATGGGTCTAAAATTTCATTCATAATAGTCTTAAAAATTTCATAAAAAGAAACCTGCAGAAACCCTGGTTTACAGTTTGTCAAATGATGTGGACGCCCCCAATATTAAATAAGCTGAATGAAATGGACACTACAATAATTGTTATAAAACATTGTACAGTATTCTAAGCTATAATATGTTGCTGTGGGATGACGTGAGACAAAACAAACTAATTATAGTGGAACAATAACGTTTGGCATTGCACTGACTGCAACTGGCCAACAAACTAGTCTAAAAATGACTTTTTCTGCTTAAGAAATGGATTACAGCATGCTGATGATATGCAAACATTAGAGTGTGAAGTTCGTCAGTATTGACCAAATTCTTCATGTACCAGCAGGCGTCGCCATTGGAATCTTTTTGCTTGAGACTTTTTTTTAAAGAATTTATTTTTAGATCCTTAAAACAGGGTTATTCTGCTTAGGTATGCTTAGGTAACCATTTCAAGGTATACCACAGTACAACAGTATATGTAAGGTTTTTTTTTTTTACATTTTGTTATAAGTTTTTCAGGACAACAGTATCTGCAGCAAAAAAAGATATCCAAAGATGCCATTTTAAATTGTAAAGAAATCTGTGTTTTTGAAACGAATGATTCATTTGAATGATTCAGCCTGACATGTTTACTGCTCCATAATACTTTCTCTCCGGTTTCACAAACAAGGTTTAAGGCTAGTCAAGATTAAATTGCATGTTTGAGCGGTCTCAACTCAAAATAACTTTCCGTGAGATAAAATACATCAGTGTATTTTTTTTCTCCAGGTGCACACCAGTAATATATTTTACTAAGGCCATTTTTATAAATTTGGCTTAAATAGCTTAATTTAACTAAGGACTAATCCCAGCTTAATCTAAGCCCTGTTTGTGAAACTGAGCCTCAAAGTTTCTTAAAAGAAAATATATTATGTTCAAAGGGAAAAAGTTCTTGTTTTTTTACCCAGAGATTAAAAAGAATAAATTTTAGAGCAGTAATCACAATACAGTGAAACTGTGATATTTATATCCAAGCTTATCATACCGTCAGAATCTTATACTGGCCCATGCCTAATGCTGCTTGATGTTACAAAGTCATATTTTCTCATTTTATTATTTTTCTTTGTATGAATAGTCATGAACACATTTGTTTGTAGAGCAAGTAGCCATTTATTATTTCAGGTCATTTCTCCAATAGGCAACTAAATTGGAGGTTTTAAAACAATAGCATATGAGATCAGGCCACTACTATGGCCCCATTTACACTAATGCGTTTTCGCATTTTTCACATTTTTTTTATGCGATCGCATTCATCAAATTTGCTCAAACCATGTGTTCTTAAGTATGGCTATATTTCACAAGGATTCTGACAAAGCAACGTGAACCAGGCGCTGTACAAAATTTGCGTTTAAGGAGGAAACACATCGAACTTAATAAATCATTTGAGCGCACATGGAATCATCTTAAAGGCAGACGAATGCAGATGTCTTGGACACCTCGCGACATCATCTGGCACTTTCACTGAGTACATTTATATAGACACCAATACTCCCACTTTAATATGATTAATACTTTTATTAAGAGTCTACCATGTAAACAGTTGTTTTTTTTTATTTATTTTTTATTACCTTAAAGGAACACCGAGTCACAAAATGCAGAGGTTTTTCTTTCTGTTCGGTATGTGGTATCAATTTCTATTACAGCAAAAGTCTAAAGATTAAAAATTAAACGTACTAAATTAGATGTAATGCTGGAAAGCCTGGTAATGCAGCATTAATTTTTTACATTAATTATTTTATACTGAAACGTTCCTTCTAAATGTGCTTCCTTGGTCTTATGCATATTTCTTTGCATGACTACAACAGGAAGTATAACAGCAACTGCGTTCATTTTTTTAAAACATTTTATATGAGTTAACGCTCTAATTTTGACAGCACTTTAATTAAACAAATGTTTTCAAAGGGCAACAAATGTTTTTAAATAGAAAGCAGCAATTTGCAGCAGTTTTGAGAGCAAATAACAAATCCCACTGCTTGTGTGTGCACGGCTCTTTGTGGCCATTATTTTAAACTTATTGTGCTGACATTAAGTACATTTTGAATGTTACAGTAAACCTCCAATGCATTAAGACTTTTCCTTGCAAGCTATAATTTGCAGTGAATTCTCTCTCTTGCGCACAAGCAAATATTTCAATGTATTGTGACAAATATTTAACTTAATGTTAATAGGCCTAAATAATGACCTATATTTTAAAATCTGCAGTTTCCTGTCAGCTTTCTTTCTTGCTTTGTTTCAAGCCGTACTTTTTGATTGTTTAAATTATTATATATTTGAACTTATATTTGAATCAAATGCTATGCCCTCGCTGTGAACATTGTGGTGTCTTGTTTCAGAGCTCTTTCATTCATCGTAGTTGCCAAGGTAGCATACAACATAATCATAATGATGCATCTGTGATCGACCTTCAGGGTTTCATGACAGTAACGTGCACGAGTAGTTATCTAGATTATTTCAGCTGAACTCAGATTAGTTACATCAAATGATCTTCAACTTGCTGTTATGGAACCAATTAAAGTGTGGACATTTAGTTCGGCTCACTAAAGTCAAGTTTTTGACTTTAATTCCCGCTTTTTTAAACCACTTTTATGAAACAGCCCCTAGGGGTTATAAAATAATCCTGGGTGTTCATTAACAGACGTTTCACATTGGTAAACCCCGGGGTAACGCTTTTATTTGTATATTTACATTGTCCCTGTTCCCGATTAGACAAACAGCAGGTAACCTTTTTAAAATGGCATTTCTGCATCTTGTCGAGTATATAAAATGTCACCATATAGGTCTTCAGCTAAGCCTTCGGACATGCTCAAAGGCAAGAAAACTGAGACAAAAGTACAAATGAATGAAAACAAGTAGCAAAGTATGTCATCTTGCCATATTCTCATCACTACAGTTTAAAGCAAATGTGGCATTAAGCATTTGCATAAGTTCATTCATTCATTTTCCTTTAGCTTAGTCTCTTTATTCATTAGGGCTCACCACAGCGGAATGAACCACCAACTTATCCAGCATATGTTTTAAACAGCGGAGGCCCTTCCAGCTGCAACCCAGTAGAGGGAAACATTTGCATAAGTTATATACAATAATGCAAACTTACAAATATAAGCTCAATTATCCGTAATTGCTATGAACATGCAGGATTTGTCTCAACCAGGTCTTCCAAGCATGTTAAAAATGTTGAGTGGAAGATACACATGAGGGAACACAACAGGAGTAATCTAGAGCGAGTGCATTTGATCATTTGCATTTAAAGCCACAGGCACAAAAAGAGCTTGGTTTATCTCTGACGCCCAAAATGAAATATTCTGCAAGGTTTATGTTCTGATTTTGAGCTGAAACCCCAGACCCATTCTGGAAACATTAAAGACTTACTTTACATCCTGTAAAAAAAGGTTCATAATAGGAACCCTTTAAAGGGATAGTTAACGCAGAAATGAAAATAGCCTCACCATTTACTCTCCCTCGTGTGGCTTTAAATCTTTGAGTTTCTTGATTCTGCTGAACACAAAAGAAGATATTGTGAAAAAAATGCTGGCTTACTTTGTGTTCCAGAAGAAAGAAAATATTTAAAAGACGCAGAGTAAATGGTGAGGTCATTTTAAATTTTGGGTGAAACATCCATTTCATGCTTGTCGCTTTGTGCCTTCATACTAAAGTTCACTTTTCTTTTCTTTTTTTTTTAGACCTGATAGTGCTGAAAGAAGAGACTCAATGCAATAAAATGGAAGCGCAACACCAAGAAATAACAGCTGATGAAAAACCCACACTGACTGAAAAGACTTTATCACTCGGAAGACCTCGGAAATCCAAAACTGAGTGTAATTTTAGCAGTAAACAGCGTAGAAAGAGTTTCAGTCAAAAGCTTAACCTTGGTGTTCACATGAGAGTTCACACTAGGGAGAAACCTCACACTTGCGAACAGTGTGAAAAGAGTTTTGGTAAAAAGAGAAGCTTAAAGACCCACATGAGAATTCACACTGGAGAGAGGCCGTACACATGCCAACAGTGTGGAAAGAGTTTTAAGCAAATTGGCACCCTTAAAGGCCACATGAGAATTCACACTGGAGAGAGGCCGTACACATGCCAACAATGTGGAAAGAGTTTTAAGCAAATTGGCACCCTTAAAGGCCACATGAGAATTCACACTGGAGAGAGGCCGTACACATGCCAACAATGTGGAAAGAGTTTTAAGCAAAGTGCCACACTTAAAGGCCACATGAGAAGTCACACTGGAGAGAGGCCGTACACATGCCAACAGTGTGGACAAAGCTTCTATTATGCAGGAAACTTTGCAGCGCACAAGAGAATTCACACTGGAGAAAAGCCCTACACATGTCAACAGTGTGGAAAGAGTTTTAAGCAAAGTGGCACCCTTAAAGGCCACATGAGAATTCACAATGGAGGAAAAACACTGTGTGGGAAAAGTTTTGCTCAAAAACAAAAGCTTGACACCCACATGACGATCCACACTGGAGAGAAACCCTACACATGCACAGAGTGTGGTAAAAGTTTCACATGTAAAAGCTCACTCATTAACCACATGAAAACTCACACCAGAGAGAAGCTGTTTGCATGTAATCAGTGTGAAAAGAGCTTCACATGTAAAGCTAACCTCATGAACCACATGGATGGTCACTCTGGAATCATAGTGTTCATATGTGATCAGTGTGGAAAGAGTCTCACACGCAAAGACTACATTAAGCAACACATGAAGACTCACTCAAGAGAGGATCGTTTTAGATGCAGTGAGTGTGGAAAGAGCTTTAAACAAAAAATAAACCTCAGCGCTCACATGAAGCTTCACAATGCAGAGCAGAGTCCACAACATTGAGACCTTGTCCACACAAACACGAGTATATTGAAAACGGCAGCTTTTTCATGTAGTTTGGCTGTTCATTGACATGAAGTTTATTTATAAACTACTTTCAAGAGGATCACATGCTTATTATTGTTCACGACTGGTCCAGCATTAGCTAACACGATTCACCAATCAGATGATTCCTGACTCACTATAAAGGACAAGAGATTCTTTCCTCTGTTATCTTCGTCGTTATCTTTTAGACTCCCTAAAGCCCTGTTCAGACTACACAATGCCATTTGTCAGTTACGACAGATGAGATTTGTGTCAGATTATGAGATTTTGACTTGATCAAATCTTGATGTGTTGTGGATAACAAATGAAGACTTTGGTTTCAAAACAC